GGCTCAAGCAATCCTACTGCCTCAGCCTCCCGAGTAGCTGGGACTACAGGCATGCGCCACCATGCCCGGCTAATTTTTTGTATATATTTTTAGTTGGCCGATTAATTTCTTTCTAATTTTAGTAGAAGCGGGGTCTCGCTCTTGCTCAGGCTGGTCGGTGTATTTCTTTATTGAAGGAAAAGTAAAACATTTAAAATCATTCTTATAACAAGCATCTCAAATGTACTTTATTCTTTCTTACATAAGCATTGCTAGGAAACTTATGTGTATTTGACTAAAGCCTCCATTTTTAAATGAGTACTTAGTACCCTGACCAAAAAACTTTTTCAAAAGGAACTAGGGTTTTTACTCATACTGGGAATACTGAGCAGTCTGTCTAATAGAAACAAATAATTTAGGGGAAGAATGAAGGGAAAAAAACCCAGATAACAGCAGTATCTTAAGTTGAAAGGCATACAAAAACCGGTATATAAGACATTCTAGTTTATCTAGAAAGTTTACCATGGACAAGAAAAAAATGCCTTCAAGAAAGCTACTTTATTAAGAAATGGGAGTGGGCAAGTAAGAGGCCTAAAGAGGAAGTAGGTTTGTTTATTAATTTTGGATTTACCTTTTTAGGGGCTTAAATCTTCTTAAATAAAAGCTAAATTTATTTAGAGTACTGTAATTTAAGTTTTGAGGTTGCATGAATAGAATGAAATTATAAAATGTAGTTTCTGCTATGCGATCTGCTCTGTTATTGAGTATCCTCATCTTTGTTTTTGGTTGGCTGGTGAACATAATCTAAAGAGTGCTGCTTGTTAATTATTCCAGGAAGTGCGGTGGAGAAATCCTTAGCTGTCAGCCAAGGTGGAGAGCTCTATGAAGAGTGGCTGGAACTTAGAAACGGTTGCCTCTGCTGTTCAGTGAAGTGAGGAATGTGTTTACTATATGCTTTTGGTTTACTAGAAATGTTTATCAATTATATTTCCAGCTTTGATTTTCTAGTGTAATTTAACTGAATTTATACAATTTGCTTGATTGTATTTTCAAATAGAAAATAAATTTATTAGGATGCATTTTCTTTTTTTTTTTTTTTGAGACAGAGTCTCACTGTGTTGCCCGGGCTAGAGTGCTGTGGCGTCATCTTAGCTCACAGCAACCTCAAACTCCTGGGCTCAAGCGATCCTCCTGCCTCAGCCTCCCAGGTATCTGGGACTACAGGCATGCGCCACCATGCCCGGCTAATTTTTTGTATATATTTTTAGTTGGCCGATTAATTTCTTTCTAATTTTAGTAGAAGACGGGGTCTTGCTCTTGCTTCGGACTCCTGAGCTCAAATGATCCGCCCGCCTCGGCCTCCCAGAGAGCTAGGATTACAGGCGTGAGCCACCGCGCCTGGCCAAGGATGCATTTTCTTAAAGTATTTCTTATTTTTTTCTATCTGCTCTAATGCTCTTTTAGAGGTCCTTTATTGAGGTTTTTATTGTCTTTGATGTCGGGGTTTAATTAGTATTCTCTGTAGTGCATGAAAATCTTATTTCATATGTAAAAATTGATTATTCTGAATTTAATGAGTCATTGGTCTAATTTCTAAGTATTCAGCTTTCTAAAAACAAAAATAAATGACTGTCAAAAAGGAGAAAAACCTTACGCTCTGTTCTACTAGTTATAGTTAAGTTTCGAAGGACATGTCTATTTTGTTTGTTAATCTACCAAAGAGCCTAAAAGAATACCTGACACATAGTAGCAACTCAAATATTTGTTGAATGAATTATGAAAATTAATACTTGTATCGATTTTGTGGATTCTAAGGAATTAAATTTCTTACACATCATTTACTACCTTAGGTGTTTGAGTCAAATGTGTTGGCAAGGATAAACTCATAACAGACTTTCTTGAACAACCAAAATGTAATCTATTAAGTATTTTCCTACACTTTTGATAATACAGGAAAAAGGGGAAATTCAAACCTTATACCCTATTCAGAATAGAATGAAATGGTGTTTAATGGCACTGTCCCTTTGGCTATTATATTAAACTACTGTAGGTAATAAATTTTATTATTATTTTGGATGTTGATTTTTTTCTTTCATAAAGCTATAAAAATAACAGATACTGACTTCAATCAGATAAAGTTCCCTCTGCTTCTAATTTTAATAAATTAAAGTATTAGTACATATATAATTTCTTTTTACCTATCAGGGTATATGCATCTCTCTCTTATTTTCTCATTGATAAATATAGGACAAATATTATGTTAGAAACTTAGGAGTGTGTTAAATTTTCACATGCCTAAAGATATTTTTGTCTTAGGTTGTTGAATACATTTTAAAACGTTTATAAGGAATGCTTAAAAATACTTAGGTAATCAGCTGTATATTATGCTTTGGTATCCTCTAGGGACAATGGCCTTAGAGCTATTGAGAATTTGATGCAGAAGAAGGGGAAATTTGATTACATACTGTTAGAGACCACTGGATTAGCAGATCCTGGTAAGAAATGACATTATTAATAACTAGAATATAGTTCTTTGACATTTTAAATAGATGTATTACAGGAATATCTAAAATGAGTATTACAGCTTTAGAGTTATAAATTTTTTTGGTTCTAAAGAGGGAAAATACTGGGTTGTCATTTTCTTTGGCAGATATATGATGAACAGAATACTTCTTGGTACTTTTAAGCTGTTAATAGAATTTGAAGTTTTTATTGATTGATTCAGGGTTATTGATAGGAACAAAAGTTGTTAAAAATATGGAAATTTAGGAAAGATGGAGAGTTTCTATTTCTAAGTACAGTCGTCCCTTGGTATCCATGAGAGATTAGGTCCAGGATCCCCAAGGATACTGTAATCCATGGATGCTCAAGTCCCTTATATAAAATGGTGTAATATTAATATTTGCATATAACCTATGCGCATCCTCTCATATTCTTTAAGTCATCTCTAGATTACTTATAATACCTAATACAATAGTTGTTAGACTGTATTATTTAGGAAATAATAAGAAAAAAAGTCTGTACATGTTCAATACAGATGCAGCCATCCTTTTTTTTCCTGAATATTTTTGATTCACAGTTGGTTGAATCTGTGGATGTGGAACCCATAGATACGGAGTGAGGACTATATATGTGATTAGTTATACTACATATAGATTTTATTTCTCTTTACTTTCTAATCCAGCTTTCTGAGAAGGTCATTAAGAGATATATAAAGGCTTTTAGACTCTGATCCCAGCAACAATTTCTCTCTTTAATTGTTAGTATTTTATTTTTCTATTACTAAAATTGAAATAATGTTATTTGTAAATGTTGTCATAAGGTATCAAAGAATACATAGTTAAATCAAGCCTACTGGGCCCTTTTCCTAGTGGGGAATTAATGATTATCAATATAATTTTTTTATATCTGAATAGAATTACATCTAAACTTCCCTGTGGAAAGCTACATAGAGTCCATCCATTTCTAACAATGGGTTTTTGTTACTGTCTTACCAAACTCTAATAAGTTCTGTTTATTTTCCCCTAAATAATTTTTAGTAAACTCTTTCTTCTCAGTTTGCATAACACTTAGTACTTGTTTCATGAGTCTGACCTATACTGTTATTTATTTATTTTTGATGTGGGTCTATGGCATTGGGCTGATTTGTAAAGCTATGTTAAAGTATTTGGGAGTAATTTACCAAAAGAGTTATAATGGTCCAAAAGAAATATTGGGAGTATACGGAGGGTTCAAATGTAATCAGTGGTTATTGTACTTAAGAGTGTTACATAATAATATTGTCCCCATGTTTTCAAAGTAGTACTGAATTAGGGCTATTTTGGTCCTTAATAGTAGGCATGGGTTTTTCATAAATTTTAATACGTTTCCTGTAAATCTGACTGGTGATAGGACTTGAACTAATATGTTGGTGTTAAATATTAAATTATTTGACTCTGGTAAGAGAGAAAAATATACTGTATGCCTTTATTTAAAATAGCAAATATCAATTTCTTTCATCAGAGCCAATTTTGCCACTTTACAGAGAAAAACTCTTGTTGCTTTTGAGAGTACATGACTTTAATAAAACACAATTCAGCATTCAGAGGAAGAAAGGAAAGTTAATGATCTCACAGAAAGCTTTTATACAAATTGTAGTTATAAAAAATGGTTAATGTTTCTTGCTTCTAACTTTCTTTAAAATAATGATTTTATTGTTTGGGTAAAGGTGGAATATTCATTTAAAAAAATTAAGCCATACTGAAAAAAGTACAAAAAAGAAAGTTAAAAAAAATAATCTTACTACCATAAAATATAAGTAGGTGAGTTTCGTTCTAGGGATCTCTCAGTGCCAGTGCTAATTGAATAGCAATATCAGCCTCAGCTGGGAGCTTGTTAGAAATGCAAATTCTTGACCCAGAACCCAGATATACTTAATCAGAATATCTAAGGGCGGGGGCCCAGCAAGATGTTTTAATAAGCCCTCCAGGTGATTCTTATATGGTACAGTCCTACCTCAGAGATATTGCAGGTTCAGTTCCAGACCACTGCAATAAAGTGAATATCGCAATACAGCAAGTCACAAGATTTTTGGTTTCCCAGTGCATATAAAAGTTATGTTTACACTATACTGTGGTCTATTAAGTATGCAATAGCATTATGTCTAAAAAAACAAAGTACATACCTTAATTTAAAAATACTGTATTGCTAAAAATGCTAACAATCATTTGAGCCTTCAGGGAGTTATAATCTTTTTGCAGGTAGAGAGTCTTGCCTCGATATTGATGGCTGCTGACTGATCAGGGTGGTGGTTGCTGGAGTTTGGGGTGGCTGTGGCAATTTCTTAAGAAAACAATGAAATTTACTGCATTGATGGACTCTCCCTTTCATGAAAGATTTCTCTGTAGCATTTAATGCTGTTTGACGGCATTTTACCCACAATGGAACTTTTTCAAAATTGGACTCAATCTTCTCAAACTCTGCCACTGCTTTATCAACTAAGTTTGTCATATTCTAAATCCTTTGTTGTCATTCAGCAGTGTTCACAGCATCTTCCAAGGAATAGATTCCCCCTAAAGAAAACACTTTCTTTGCCTGTCTATAAGAAGAACTCCTCATGTGTTAAAGTTTTATTATGAGGTTACAGCAATTGGTTCACATCTTCAGGCTCTGATTCTAATTCTAGTAGTTCTCTTGCTATTTCTACCACATCTGCAGTTACTTCCTCCACTGAAGTCTTGAATCCCTCAGAGTCCTCTGTGAGGGTTGAAATCAACTTCTTCCAAACTCCTGTTCCTGTTGATATTTTGACCTCCCATGAATCACCAATGTTCTTAATGGCATCTAGAATGGTGAATCCCGGTAGAGGAATCACTATTTATGGCAGCTATAGCCTTACAAAATATATTTCTTAAGTAAGACTTGAAAGTTGAAATTACTCTAGGCTTCAGAATGGATGTTGCGTTAGCAAGCATGAGAACAACACTAATCCCCCTTGTACATCTCCATCAGAGCTCTTGGGTCACCAGGTGCATTGTCAGTGAACAGTAGTATTTTGAAAGGAATCTTTTTTTCCAAACAGTAGGTCTCAATAGTGGGCTTAAAATATTCAGTAAACCATTCTGTCAGTAGATATGCTGTCATTCAGGGTTTGTTGTTCCTTTTATGGAGCACAGACAGAGGAGATTTAGCATAATTCTTAAGTGCCCAAGATTTTTGGAATGGTAAATGAGCTTTGGCTTCAACTTGAAGTCATCAGCTGCATTTGCCCCTAACAAGAGACTCAGCCTGTTCTTTAAAGCTAGGCATTGACGCTCCTCTCTAGCTATGAAAGTCCTAGATGGCATCTTCTTCCAGTATAAGGCCGTTTTGTCTCCATTGAAAATCTGTTGTTTAGTGTAGCCACCTTCATCAATTATCTTAGCTAGATTTTCTGGTTAACTTGTTGTAGCTTCTACATTTGCACTTGCTGTTTCACATTATACTTTTATGTTTTGGAGACAGCTTCTTTCCTTAAACCTCACAAACCAGGCTCTGCTAGCTTCCAACTTTTCTTTTGCAGCTTCCTCACCTCTTTCAGCTTTCGCAGAGTTGAAGAGAATTAGGGCCTTGTTCTGGATTAGGCTTTGGCTTAAGGGAATGTTGTGGCTTGTTTGATCATCTATCCAGACCATTAAAGCTGTCATAGTCTGTTTTGTGTTGCTATAAAGGAATGCCTGAGGCTAGGTAATTTGTGAAGGAGAGAGTTTTACCTGGCTTATGGTTCTACATACTGTACAAGAAGCATGGTACCAGCACCTGCTTCTGGTAAGGGCCTCAGACTGTTTCCACTCATGGCAAAATGTGAAGGGGACCTCTGTGGGCAGAGATCCTGTGGTGAGGTAGGATGCAAGAGAGAGAAGGAGGGAGGTGCAGGCTTTTTTTAACAACCAGCTCTCTGGAGGGAACAAACAGAATAATTCACTCAACCCCCACCTCCCATCCATGACCCAAACACCTCCCATTAGATAGGACCTCTAACACTGGGGATCAAATTTCAACATGAGGCTTGGAGGGGTCAAATATCCAAACCACAGCAATAACTTTCTCCATATCAGCAATAAGGCCATTTGCTTTCTTATCTTTCATGTATTCATTGGAGTCGCACTTTTAATTTCCTTCAAGAACTTTTCCTTTGCATTCACAACTTGGCTAACTTTTCCGCGCAAGAGACCTAGATTTCTGCCTATCTTAGCTTTCAACATGCCTTCCTCATTAAGCTTAATCATTTCTAGTTTTTTATTAAAGTGAGAGACATGCAATTCTTCCTTTCACTTGAACACTTAGAGGCCATTGTAGGATTATTAATTGGCCTAATTTTAATATTGTTGTGTCTCAGGGAATAGGGAGGCCAGAAGACAGGGTGAGAAACGGGAACAGCCA